AGCCTAACCAAGCAGCCTTAGAGTGGTGTGGAGGGAGTGGCGCGGAGAAGCAAAATGAAGATTCTAGGTGAAATGTTGGAGGCTGGCATGAAACAAATCGTCGTGTAACTAAAATGCTAAATATTGAGCCTAGTAAAACAGTGCCTCGCCACTCCGCATTCGCCCCTTCACTCACGCGAGGCGTAACCTCCAAAAGCAGCCGCCGGGCGCCCAGCAGGAGGTATCCGCCACGCCACGGCCCACCCACGACTGACCGCCGCCTCAACCCCACTATTGGCGAAGTCACTAGCCGAGCCCTCACCGCCTCGCCGCCAAATCCACCAGACGAGGCCTGCCCTTCCGCTCACCGGAGGCCCGCCGCCTCTAATCCCGCTTGCCATGCCATAGCCCATCATCGCCCGGCGGCAAGAGCTATCCCGCCACCACGACGCCTGCCTCCCAATCCGTCAGCCGGGTCCCTAGCCGGAGCCCTACCGCCTCGGCCAATTTTATCGAGACGTGCCGCCTCAGCCCCCTCGCTACTGAGCCCACCCGCCCCAATCCCATCGTCCGCCACAACCCACAAACCGTCACGCCAAGAGTTGTGCCATCGCCGCGTCCCCATTCCCCTCCGCATCCAGGTGCGTCATCCCCACATCCCCTTCCTCTCATCCCCATTCTCCTATGTTCTAGGGTTTTGGCACACCTTAGTTTCTTATTTTTTCTTGGTTGCAGAAAGTTGACGAAGGCGAGAAAGGCTAAAAGATTCAAGGTTTGGGTTATACTTCCGTTACCAAACTTTCATTCAGTCTAGATCCACTATCTCTTTCCCCTCTCTGTAGGAATGTATTCATCTTGATTTAGATGTGAATGTGATGTTTAATGCCTTAATTGATTTTGCAGAGGAACTAGCTGGATTCAAGATCTTGCACACAACACAATCCATCAGCTTGCATGTATGTTCTCTTATGCTGGATCTGCAACATTTTTCTAATATGATGGCAAAGTTCACACTGATGGGAGTTCATAGTCAGTTTACTTTGGTCATTTATGCGAAAAAACATGTTGTGTTTGTTCTATATATAAAAACCATGAGAGAAGGGAATCAATTGAACTTTAAGCTGCAAATGGAAGTATAAGTTATTCTTAGAACTATTGAAATGCATACATGTCTCTTGGCTGCAATATATCAATTCTGAGTATTTCTTTCTTTCTTGTGCATGTTGCAAAATATCCAATAAGGAAGCACTAAAGGGATTCAACTCTTCGACAGTTTTTTGTACACAAGTCATCACCACCTGCATTCTTCAAGTAAGTTTCCTTGTGCTCAAGTTTTTGACTTATTTGTGTTGCCTTGTGTGATTAATTGTCGCATATAACATTATCTACATGAGCCTAAGCAAGTTGGCCTTCTAGTCTTCATCCGCTTTTCTACCGCCATTGCTTGATTGGTATGTTTCCATTTCTTATGAACTTTGTCTCTTTTGGCATAGAATTGTAGGTTATGTGTGGTCTGTGATGTGATGATTTTGGTTTCTTAAAACTGGATTAAATTTCCCCTATAGTTCATGTGCATGACTTGTGGTGAGATGATGTTTTCAAGTGTGGTGAATTAATTTGATTTGGACAGTTCTTTGAAAGGATCCTTTTTTTGTTGAACAACACATTCTAAAATGAGAAATGTATGTGTATATATTTCACTAATTGTCACCCTTTCACTAATTGACAATTGCATTTTGTAAAAGGTGCGTCCATGGATAAAACATGGATGGATCAAATTAGGTACATTATAAACCTATGACCATACACTAGAATCTACATGCATAGGGTGTTTGGTCTGATATGTTGATAATCATATGTAGGCATACCCCTGTGTATAGAGAAGGAGTGGATATGTTCTTAGAGTTTGCCTTTAGTAATTCAGCAAAAGGAAATCAGATTTTGTGTCCTCAGAAGACATGCAAGAACTCTTGTTGAGGGGTTGGTAGTATTGTACGTGAGCACTTGATATGTGAGGGATTTACGGAAGGATGTGTAACATGGTGAATCATGGTGAACCTAGTTCCAGTTTTTTCACAAATAAAGCATAAGATGAAAGGGCGTAAGTAGGGAACCCAAATGAAGAGGATGATATTTCTGGGTTTACTTGAAGGCATAGCAAATAAGGTTAGATGTCATGGGGACTTAGAGATAAACAACCCAAAGCAAAGACGATGAGGATATGGAGGCTTTTTACAAAATGGTAGAAGATGTCTGGCAAGGAACTATATCCAAAGTGCAAGTACTCGGCTACGTTTATCATTGTAAGATTACTCCATATCAAGTTTGTTGGGCGATGGAGTAACAAAAGCTCGACATGCTTCTAGAGTTACTTAAGGATGTCTTACCTAAAGAGTCATCACTTCCTAAAAAACTTTAGTGCAGCTAAAAATGGCAAAAGGTGTAGGACTTGGGTATGTGAAAATTCATGCATGTGAGAATGACTCCATAGTGTTTTGGAAAGAGCATGCTAACAAAAAATGTTTGCCCAAAATGTGATACATCAAGATGGAAATCGTGAAAATAGTAGTCCTAGTGGAAAACGTAGCATAGGGTTCCTAGGAAGTTATGCGTTACTTTCCTATAAAGAGAAGGCTGCAATGGCTTTTTATGTGCTCAAAAACAAGAAGTGATATAAGGTGGCATGATGAAGGACGCACAAAGATGGTCTCATAAGGCATCCTGGCTGATGTTTCCTTTCGAAAGATTTTGACTCTAAGCATCCAATATTTTCCTCGAGAGTCGAAATCTTTGACTAGCAGTAGCTAGCGATGGCTTTAATCCTTTTAGGACCATTAAATCAACTTATAGCATTTGGCCTGTTATTCTGATCCCATACAACCTTCCACCTTGGAAGTGTATGAAGCAATCAAATTTCATCCTATCCTTGTTGATCCCTGGACCTAAGGCACCTTGTGGTGATATGGATGTCTTTGTTGAGCCGCTGGTGGATGATATGGTAGAAATGTTTGTTAATGGTGTGAGAACATATGACGCTTCTAAGCATGAATTCTTCCCACTACGCGCTGCCATAGTTTGCACCATATCTTATTTTCTAGGTCTAGGTTATTTGGTCGCATGCGTCACTTCTGACAAAGTTGCTTGTCCTGAATGCCACTTAGATACATGTTCTATCCAATTGAAAAAGGGAGGCAAGTGTGTCTACATGGGCCATCGAGATTCTTAGATGCTGACACAAATTTCGCTTTGATGCGGATTCATTTGATGGTACCACAGAACTTAGGCCAGCACCTAGACCACTTAGTGGAGAGGAAATATTAGAGCTGACAGCCAATATATGCACAACCTTTGGAAAGGACCCAATAACCAAGAAGCCAGCCAAGCGTCAGTGCAATCCAACTACAGAGGAGCCATCCAAGCGCAAACGCAAGAAAGTTGATGAGCCACCAACCTGCTTGGAAAAGAAAATCCATTTGGTTTAAGTTGCCATATTGGAAAGACCTACTTCTACACATAATTTTGATGTTATGCACATAGAAAAGAACGCTTGCCGTAATATTATTGACACACTTTTGGACACCGATGGAAAATCCAAGGATAACTTGAATGCTCGCTGGATATCCGTAAACTTGGCATTAGAAGTGATCTTCATCCCGTTAGTGTAGAAGATGAGTTCTATTTACCTCCAAAGACAGCTTTACAATGAGTCCCGATGGCGGTGGAAGCGCTTTTGCCAAGTATTGAAGGATGTGAAGTTTCCGGATGGTTATGCATCCGATATGCGCCGTAATGTGCAAGTCAAGGAGAAGAAGGTATTTGGATTAAAGAGCCATGACAACCACATATTGTTGCAGAATTACTTCCGTCATTGTTTGGAATAAATTGCCGTAAAGAGTTAGTGCAAAGACCGATTCGTGTGAGTAATTTCTTCAAGAAGATCTACTCACCCACTATTTCAGATCGTTGATATGCAAAAACTAGAGGTTGAAATAGCCAAGGCACTAAGTGTCCTTGAGACTATATTTCTGCCATCTTTTTTTTGATATCATGGTACATTTGATGGTGCATCCGCCTACTCAAGCAAGACTTGTCAGGTCCTCATACACTATCGTAGCATGTGGGCGAGAGAGGTACCAAACTATTTTTAATTGCTATTGAACATATTTGTAGTTAGATTCCACGCTAAACTCAAGCACTTTTAGGTATTTGATGAAGTCAAGGGCTCTATTCGTACTAGAAGTCATCCAGAGGGATCAATTTGTGAGGCCTACAAATTTGATGAGAGTCTTACTTCACCCGCTCCAAATTTTGAAAGGCGATGAGGGTAGACAAGTAGGAAATGGTGAAGTAGTTGGGGTACTTCGCTTCTGGCGTGGAGTACTCGTGAAGTAGTTGTGAACCATGTGTTTATGAGGAATGCAAGATTGCCTTGTCCATATGAAGGGGTCAAAGCACCATTCTAGAGGCTTGTGGGAGATGCATTGCATGGCCACATGACGTAGGCATCGTGTAACCTCTCTATATTCTTGAAAAAATGATCATTATATTTTGCTGATTACTAATATATTTGTTTTCTACTATATGAGGGATGACAAGAAGTCACCGCATCACTCAAAAGGTGGTGGCAACAGAAGGCCATCGCAGCTTGAAGGTATTTTACTTGAACATTTTGACTTATATATGTGATCCAAACTGGTTGAAATGTGGGAAAGCAATGAGGTCAGTGATAGCGAATGTTTTGATTTGATAAATCAGAAGTTGAATTATATGATTTGCCAATTAGATAGTGTCAAACCGGAGGGATCGATGCTCCTTGAAGAATATTTGAGCCATTTCGGAGTTCTATATGTAGATGTAGAGAATTGTGCTCTGGGTTGTAGAGTCTAAGTGGCTGAAATTAGCATGGTAGTATAAATAATAAGTGAAAAAATAATTTCATCCAACTTGCACCTCTATTCTGCTTCACTTGAAGAACTCTGCAGTCTGGCCACTGCGTGGTGGTAGTTTGCGTTAGCCGATAATTGTGTGCTAATTATTCAGACGACATAATTGGGCTCCAAGCCCTCCCAGCAGCCATACATATACATGCATGCAAATGGTAGTCTGCTACTTATATATGGATCTATCAATTGATGGTCAAGAAATAACAATCAACGGCAGTGGAGCCATATCATTACATTTCCAACCCATGCATAAATTTGTTTTGTTTAGAACAGATAAATTTGTTACTACTAGGTGATCGGAGGGGGCAATCCAAACATGCACATCTAGTTTGTCTCGCTTGTTTGCATTGTTTGTTAGGACCAAATTGAGATCGATGATTATTCGCATCCACCTAGCTAGTCGTGGATCGCTTAATCGCAGCTTCTTGTTGCCACACTTGGATTAATCAACCCGACAAGAGAGATCATAATATATAGTCATTTTTTTCTCATGCTTTTATCTATAATATATATAGTGACCATGCTGATGAGATTTTATAACTTTTATTAGCTAATAACTACAGCAATACAGAATTGCAATCTTTTTAAGCAAGAATGAACCCCACATATCACTTCAATACATATCACATGGCAAAACCTGTAAGCATACTGGTAAAAATAAATGGAATATCATGAATTTACAATGGAAACTAAACTTTGGTTGCAACAAATATTGAAAGGAGATAAGCTATCAATTATAAACTGAGGTGTTGATTTAGAGTCTAGTAACCACTCAAGCTATCAAATTGTTGCTGCTGCTGCTGCTGTTAATGATAGCATAGTTGCCCACTTACAGTATTACTGTTTCACTATTTGCACCTAAGAGTTGATGATACGCACTACATTTCACTGATATTTTGCCTTTTTTTCAAAAAGTTAGGTACTTAAGCTATGTGGTGTTGCAAGTATTTTGGATTGGCACCCTTTGAGGTTCGATCGAGAGCTGTTACATGTTCTCCGGCAGCAACCATATGTGCACCAAGTTGGTGTTCAAGTATTTTGGAGTGGCAACAAGCAAGTGTTCGAGAATTGCTGCAGGAAGACATGTTGCAGCTTGCACCTACTATCGTCGTAGGACAAAGACATGGAAGTGTTGAATGCCACGTTTGTGCCCAAGTAGTCCCGATCTATTGATCTCTTAGCTTTAACCATAACTAGTTAGTACAAGACTTAGTGTATGTCTATATATGTCTAGTAATGTCTAATCTATATCCTGGACCTGTATATGTATGGCGCCTCTATGTAATGTGATCATCACTTGACTTGTGTTTGGATCTATATATGTATTGACCTGCTTGGTGTATGTATGGAAGATGTAATATATTATTTCTATAAATCATGTGGATTTGCTCAATGTGATACCTACTATACGAGCAATAGTGGATTTTTCAAATTATTTAAATTGTATTTGTTTATATCTATATCTCGCAATACGCTTTTATCGACACTTTATTGTCGGACAGTGTGTGATTCACTAAACACCTTGGAAATGGTTTCGCCAACATGCAAACTGTTGGGAAAGGTCTTAACTGTCGTGTAGCTCTTAACTGTCGGGAAAGGGATAACTGTCGGCAAAGGTTGTAATCGCTTGCCGAGATGCAACATTTGGCTACGCAAAAAAGTGTCGGCGATTCCTTTCGTTGTCGGCAAAATTTTCACCGACAGCTTTATAGCGCCGATTGCTTTAAACCGTCGGGAAACTTTTGGTGGGAGGTTAAGTGTCGGTAAAAGGTGCCCTTTGCGCATGTGAGAAAGTGTCGGCAAAGGTACATCGTGTTATAGTGATTTACTAATAGATGAACACTAAGTATTACCTGTTTATGCTATTCATTATTCATGTTTACATCGATCATGTGTTTTGCATTGGGAATTGAAACAACTTGTTGCTACTCTTATGCTAAAATTGTGACAACTAAAAGCTGAATGTTGTTAAACCTATGTCAAGCCTTTTGAGCCTCATAACCCCCCATGTTACACTTGTTGAGTACGACATGTACTTACGCTTGGTTTATTTTCATTACATGGATAAAAAATCCTGGATGGGTAACAGATGGCTATGGGTATGATGATTTCCTGAAGACTTCTAGACTTGTGGTCAACCAAATGACGTCCCCGTGAAATGGAGCTTTCACGAGAGATCTTTTTCATTATACTTTCGTTATATCTATGTGAAGACTTTGTCTTAATATTTGTGATGTAATAAACACTTATGATGATACTATTCATAATTTATCGGCTTATGTGTGTGTGACTGATCTCTGGCGCACATAAGATTTTGCATCCCATTTTATCCTTAAAATTGGGTGTGACAAAATCGTGAATGGTGACTCATGTCATTATTGTACTACAGTTAGTTTGTTTCTATATTCAAAGTTTGAGGCCAATAATTTAGAACCACATATATATAATACTGTTATTTTTTAAATGACAGGTGCTGGTAGATGTAAGTTTAGACAATTACTTTATGTTATTTTTCATAATGACGTAGCTATATGTTACTTTAGCTTATTTTCAATAGTGGAAGGGCTGATAATTTAAATGCAGATTTAAGAGGCTATACTTTCATAGTGGCACAGATGCATGGATAATTAGGGGCTTACCTTATGTTATTTTCACAATAATAGAGGTGGGTAGTTTAGATTTAAATTTAAGGTGTAGCTTCTGAGTACTTTCATAATGATACATGTGGTAGTTAGAAAAATAGAATAGATTGAATAATGGCAATTATTAGAGTCTATCAGATCCATGGCCAAATATTTATCATTTTTGTGTGAATTTTGAGTCTTTATATTTTTTCTGGCGTTCCTAAATAGAATCAATGTTGAGGTTTTAGAAGAAGACTCACTAGTAATAGTAAATAGTGTAAATATGGTACCATTAGGACTACCATGAGAAGTGATTTTTACAATATGTGTATATTAATTGGAGGCTCCTTTAATTAAATTTTGAGGCCCACGTTTAACCCATGAGACGTGTTAGAAAAAAAACCATCCTTATAAATTAGTATAAGTATTATTTAGAATATAGTAACATTGAACTCACATCGTCATTTACTACAATAACTATTAGATCTAACATATTTCTAAATTTTCTACTGCTGTATACAAAAGCAAACTCAAAGTTTCCACACACATGCTTATACATAATCAACATTTGATTATGAAAAAGTGGACCTCCTAGATACTCTGGTGTCTGCTTTTAAATTACCTAACTATGCATTTATGAAAGAAAAAAACTAGTCAAAAGAACACAAATACCTACTTCAAACCTACATATATACCATTATAACAAAATTAATTATCATGAATGTTGATATACCATGTACTGTTTCATATGTTTCACTTAAAATATTAATTTAGCTCTCATTTTCTAAATTATACGTGTAAGTGATGAGTAGAAATTGCAAAGAGATACATATTGTGCTATCATGACTATAGAGTAAAATACATAGTTCGTCATCCAACTTGGCTCGAGGTGATTTTTGGTAGGTTCCTACTTTTGAAACACATATCTAGGTCTTTAAACTTATTGACCATGTCACATGAGATCCAAATTACCACAATTTGAGTTAATCTGCATGTGTGGCACGTTGATTACACGACAGTATGACACTAACATGTGGGGCCCACATGCCTGCAGGTAAGAAGGATGAGGCTATCATGTAGGCCCAATATTTTGGTACCTCTTGTTGGTGAGAACCTCCTCGAGTCTTTTGGCAAGCCCGTTGTCATCCAGGCCGTCAATTGCACCCAGTGCAGCCTCTTCCTTGATTCCCCTGTCGTCAGCCGTTTTGGGCTTCACGACCTGCCGAAGAAGGTCGCTGAGCAACGCCTTGAGGTCTCTGCTCGGCTCGAACGCCTGGGACACGGACACCATCGCCTGCCACGGGAACTCCGCTTCCAGCCGCCGGCACACCTCCATGGCCAGCGTCGTCTTGCCGAGGCCTCCGAACCCCACGATGGAGAAGACGGCCATGCGCGCGGCGGCCTCTTCGCCAACCGGCGCGTTCAGCCGTGCAGCCAGGGCGTTAGCCTGATCCTCGATGCCGACCAGCCGGCGGCGGTCGTCGGTGTTGCTAGCAGAAGTGGACGATGACGCCGCCGATACGGGGACCGCAGGTAGCAGAGGAGCGAACCGGCGCAGCGCGTCCCGGTTGACGCCGAACCGCGCCTGGCGCTCGCTGATGGCGACTGCGCGGGCGCGGAGGGCGCCGATCTCGCATGCGAGGCGGCGGCGAGACCGGAGCGTCCCGAGCAGGCGTCCCAGCCAGGCGCGCACGCCGTCGGTGCGGCGGGACTCGATGCGCAGGGTGTAGAGGTCGATGCAGTCCTCGGCGTCGTAGGCGACCTCGCGCAGCTGCTTCATGCACACCTGCAGGAAGCGGTCCACGGCGCCGTCGTCCGCCTCGGACTGCATGACGAGGAGCGCGTTCATGGCGTCCAGCTCGTCCTGTAGCTCGGCTACCTGGCCGCCGACGCCGCGGAGGTGCTGGTACTCCTTGCTCAGCAGGCGCCCGGCGTTGCTCAGAAAAGCCTGTGCCGCTGCCGCGCCTCCATGACGCCGCTCGGAAAGAACCAGCCAGAGAGATGGGGTGGCTGTGGTTGGGCCGCGGAGATTTTTCAGACAAGACAACCGGTGGACTACCAAAGTCAAGACTGCGGGCCCGACCTTGACACCAAATTCATGTTGCTAGACTTTTTTGGCCAGCGGGACCTTGATGTGTTGAAAATGATTTATACAACTGTGCTATTTTTTTTTTAGTTTCTAGACAAATTGAGTTATTTTGTGTTTGAATTACAACTATTTTTTTATCATGATAGCATTTCTTTGTAGAATAATAGGTTTTCCCTGCTTTATTTCTAAGGACTGTTTGGATTCATTAGTACTAAAAATTTTTTTAGCCAATTGATTTTAGCATGAGGCTGTTTGCATGCACCTGCTAATATGTGCTTGTATAATAAGTTGAAGGTGTATATGAACTATTATGTGCTGTTTGGTTCACTCATTTTGTAGCGTCATCTGTTCACACTGCCAACAGATCACGTAAGTTATTGTTTGTTTCAAGTAGGACACGTTCGTTTCGCTGAAAAAACAAGTCGAAATATTGTTCCGGCGGATTTATTGTGAGAGAAAACACTGTTCCGGCTGAAAAAATAAGCTAAAAAGTACGGATTATAAGACAAGTTAACATGTCCTTCAAAACGCCGATTACGCCCACGATCGGGCAGTAAACGCCGCAGCAGCGTGAAACAAAATTGCCTTTCCATTGCCTCAAATGATTTTCAGGGATGAATAACGATTAGTGGCAAAAACAGTGTGTGAGAAAGGGAGAGAATGAGACCTGCTGCATTTCTTCATCTGGATCACTCATTGGTTTAGCCCATGCAACTGTTATATTTAGACACCTTTCCTTGAAAGCTTTATGTATGCCATCCATGCATCTCTTTCAGTCTCAAGTTCAAGAAATGCATACCCACAGTTATAGCCTGGGTTGTCACAGTCAGCCATGAGTGTTACTGCATCAATGTTCTCAACTCCAGTTTTGTGTAGTAGCTTCATGATCTGCTTTGAAGAGAATTAGGTGATATCAGCAAACAGACAACAATGGAGCCAAATATCCAAGCAGGTTATTCACAGAAATACAGAATAAAGAAAATGGTAGCTAGGGGTGCAATTGTACTCACATCTTCTTTCTTCCATTTCTTGTCAATATTTTCAACAACAATTTTATCATTCCCATCCAGAGCTTCAACTTGACAAAGCTTCCAACAGATCTTGTAATGGAGTTTCAAATAACAGTATAATAAATTAATAATCAATATGGAGAAAGAGGAGGGGAACAAAATGTGGAGGCAGTGAAACATAAGCCACACATTCGACTTAGCCAACACATATAACTATAGCCAAAGGTCACGAATTCTGAACCCACAATTTTTTTCCCTGTACTACAAAAACTAGGGCAACAAGATACTACACCATAAATTCCAACATAGTAACATTGATACACATAGCATTTAGGAACATTCATTTTTTGGTACTAATGTTATATTGATTTATGATGTTTCATTTTGTCCATAGTGTTAGCCCACAGGATCACCGGCTTAGTTGAGTCGACCACTCACCAGTCTTGCCGAGCACCCGCTAGTGTTGCCGAGCACCCACTAGCTATGCCGACCACGAAGAAGCGTTGTCCGACCACACACACTATGGCTAAGGTAGAAGAAGAGGAAGAACAGAGTATACACACACAGTACAAGCACCAGCGTTGGCCGGAGCCCTATATAGGAGATGGCAAAACTGAACTCTCCTTGTTGAGTTGCAGTGGCAAACTATATATACAACTCTATCCATCTAGTCCTAGTACAGCTACCCTGCTGCAACAGTGACTAGATAACACAGTAGGACTGACTTCTACGCCTGTCCCTGCATGTGGCTACAGTACGGCAGGTGAGCCGTTTGGCGTCTGCCTCTACAGCCGCTACAGTACCACATCAGGGAGCCTTTTCAGCGCCGCCTTCCCTTGCTGTGTGTTCACACAAGGAAGTAGTAGATTATCTAACAATTCTTCCCATAATCCTACTGCTATCCCTTGTACCCCCTCCATGCCGATCATCTCCTTCAGCTCCGTGAGTCGAAGACGTCTGAGCGGCTTGGTGAGGACGTCCGCGAGTTGCCGACCGGTTTTGACAAACTTGATGACGATCTGCCCTCCATCGACACAGTCCCTGAGGAAGTGGAACTTCACGTCGATGTGTTTGCTCCGGTCGTGCAGAACCGGATTCTTCACGAGGGCGATGGCGGGCTGGTTGTCCACCATCAGTGCTGGTGGGTGAGCTCCCACGCTGGTCAGCTCGCCTAGCAGCCGGTGCAGACACACAACTTGGCACGCCGCTGTGGCCACCGCTACGAACTCTGCCTCGCACGTAGATAGCGCCACCACCTTCTGTTTCAGCGACAGCCATGAAATCGGAGCCGACCTGAGGAAGACGAGCATGCCAGAGGTGCTCCGTCGTCTGTCGATGTCCCCCGTCATGTCTGCATCGCTGAACATAGTGAGCTGTAGCCTACTCCCGCCGGTCTTTGGGAAGATGATCCCTTGATCTATCGTCCCCTTGATGTAGCGTAGTAGCCGCTTCACTGCAGCCCAGTGATCCTCTCGAGGATCCTCCATGAAGCGACTGATGTAGCCCACGGCGAACGCAATGTTCGGCCTCGTGTGGACTAGGTAGTGTAGACCGCCGATGATGCTCCGGTAAAGTGTTGCATCCACCTTCGTCGCGGTGCTGGCCTTCGTCAGCTTCAGCCGCTCCTCCATCAGAGTCACGCATGGCTTGCACTCAGCCATGCCGCTCCGTTCCAATAGCTTCGAGGCATACACGCTCTGATCGAGCGTGAGTTCCTCCTTCCCCTGTCTCACATTGATGCCGAGGTAGTAGAAGAGTGCGCCGAGATCGCTCATTCAAACATGAGCCGCCATCTCGCGCTTGAAGCTGTTGATGTCCACCGTGCATGCGCCGATGACGATCAAGTCGTCCACATACACGCCGACGACGAGCTCCTCCTTCCCCGTCGCCGCGCCAGAGCACGTGCTCGGTTGCGCACCGCTGAAACCCAAGCTCGCCAACAGAAAGCGTCAAGCTTGGCATTCCATACTCGTGGGGCCTACCATAGCCCGTAGAGCACCTTGCGTAGTCGGAGCACCCTATGCTCCTCTCCCTTGACAGCGAAACCTGGAGGTTGCCTGACGAAGACCATCTCCGCTAGCTCACCGTTGAGGAAGGTCGATTTAACATCCAAGTGATGGACGCGCCAGTCCTTTGCTGCTGCCAAGGCTAGTAGCAAATGAACAGACTCTCTCAGCGTGCTCGGGCGTAAAGACTTCCTCGAAGTCGATGCCCTCGCGCTGAACAAAGCCTTGGGCGACGAGGCGCGCCTTGTGCCTGACAATGGCGCCAAGCTCATCCCGCTTGACCTTGTACACCCACTTCAGGCTGATCGGACGACATCCTAGAGGTGGATCGACAAACTGCCATGTCTCATTTTTCTCGATCGCCTTCATCTCCTCTAGCATTGCTCGTCGCTAGTTGCCATCGCGCTCCGCCAGCACGAACGTGGGTGGTTCCTCTGCACTGACGAGCAGCAGCTCTTGCTCATTGAGCAGCCGACCAGCCAGGCCTGAGGGCCCTGTGCCGCCGACGATGTCATCCAGCCTATGGAAACGCACCTCCTCACCTTCGTGGAAGGCATACACAAACTCAGTGATGTCACTTCGAGGTGAGGCGAACTCGATCGGCATCGATGGAGTTCCCTGTCCCGCCTGAGTGCTCGGCACTACACCTGGAGTGCTCGACACCCTGGTTGTAGTGCTCGGCACTACTTCTAGATAGCTCGTCACTACTCCTGCAGTGCTCGGCACTACTGTAGGAGTGCTCAGCCTAAGTCTTGGAGTGGTTGGCACCACTGCAAGACCTCTTGGCTCCGCTACGGGAGTGCTCGGCACCTGTCCTATAGTGGTCGCCACCACTGCAGAACCTCCTGGCATCACTCATGGAGTGCTCGGCATCCCTCCAGGAGTGCTCGGCACTCCTCCCGGAGTGCTCGGCATCCCTCCCGAAGTGCTCAGCACTACCCCTAGAGTGCTCGGCACCTCTTCCCCAGTGTCTCCACCACCGTGGATGACCAGGTGCTCGATGACGAAGGTGCTGGTGAAGCCGCCAGCTTCCCCAGTGCTCGGACTACTCCAGTCCCAAGCCACCTTCTCGTTGAACACGATGTCGCGCGAGACAAGTACCTTGTTTCCGCGTGGGTCATAGAGCCGGTACGCCTTGGTACCCTCCGCGTAGCCCAGGAACACCATCGGTGTGCTCGTGACCTCCATCTTGGTGAGGATCGGCTTCGTCTTCCTGATGTGGCCGATGCAGCTGAATGTCCGAAGGAAGGACACGCTCGGCTTGCACCCATACCAAGCTTCGAACAGCGTCTTGCCCGTCAGGGCCTTGGTCGGAGCACGGTTGAGGATGAACACCGCCGTGGTCACCGCCTCACCCCAGAACCTCGCCGGCATGCCTTTGGCCTTCATCATGGATCGAGCCATGCCGACCACCGTCTGGTTCCGCCTCTCCACCACGCCATTCTGTTGTGGCAAGTACGGCGCGGTGTGGTATCGCACCACACCCTGATCAGCGTAGTACGCAACGAACTCTACCGGTGAATTCACCGCCACGATCGGTCCTCACCCCACGAGCTTCTTGCGCTCTCGGCCTCCACGCATCTTGAACTTCTTGATCCCGCCGCCATTTTCGCCCTTGTTGCACCAAGAGTTGCAGCCACATGTAGTGACTGCAATCATCCACGAGCAGGAGGAAGTACGGCCGACCACCGTTTGTAGCTGGTGTGATCGGCCACCGGACATGCCACTGCCACGGCTACTCGGTGTGCCTTGCCGCCAGACACACCGGCTGCTCTACCTTTAGGTTGAGCAGGTACAACTGGTTTAGGAACCTCTTCACCTTGGCGAGAAGTCGCTGCTCCCGGTCCCTAATCCTAAGGACTCCATCCTTGATCAGTACTCGCTACAACGCTCATCCAACTGACCAATGTTGATGATGCTAGAACACAGCTGCGGGATGTAATATACATCCGTTAGTGCACAATGCTTCCGTTCTAGCACCTGAAGATGATGGTGTCGCGCCCTTGGATTGCCACCCGTGAGCCGTCACCAAACTTCGCTGTACCGGTAACATCGTCGTCGAGCTCGGAGAAGGATGCCTTGGAGCCCGTCATGTGGTTGCTAGCACTAGAGTCCAGATACCACCGCTTCTCCTGGTCGGCGCCCACACGTCCGAGGTGGACTTGGGCGTGTGGTTCGTCGAGGTTGACAGCCTTCAGAGCCTTCCCAGGTCCTTCCACCATCGTCACCTCTTCCTTCTCCTCGGCCTCGACGTCGTGCAGTGCACAGAACATCGCTACCAGGATAGTGGCCTCATTATTATCATTAGCTTGCGCCAGATGAGCCTTAGCCTTCTTCTCCTGCTTGCGATTTGGGCACTCCCATGCCCAATGGCCCGTCTCCCCACAGCGCCGGCAGGCGTTGGGGTCGATCTGCTTCTTCTTCTCTGAAGAAGCCTTCCCAGAGTTCCTCCGAGTAGCCCACTCCTCTTCTGTCAGCAGCATTTTGCCGCTGTCCGTCGTTGCTGTCGCCTGCTCCAGACGCTCGTCCACCGCCTGCAGACGGCCTGTCACATCCTCAATGGTGAGGGTGGACAAGTCTAGCATCGTCTCTATGGAGAGAACGATCTGAATGTACTTTGCTAGCACGGAGTGGAGGTACTTAGAGACCGCCTCCTCTTCGTCGATGGTGACGCCGTGGCTCTTCAGCTTGCTGATGAGCGTCTGCAGGCGGAGGGAGAAATCATCCACCATTTCACCATCCTTGAACTTGAGGTTGGCATACTCCTGCTTCAAAAACTGGGCCATCACCTTCTTTGCACGGTCGGAACCGACACGCATTGCCGCAATAGCCTCCCACACCTCCTTTGCAGAGCTTTTCGCCCCCAACGGCTCCCTGTACTCCGCCGGTACAACAACGAGGATAGCCTCCAACGCTGACATGTTATCTTCCTCATTATCGGTGCCCTTGTCAACAGCATTCCGAGCCGTCCGGGCTTTGAGCTTGACCTCTATGGTCACCGACCACTCTCCATAGTTGGTGCGAGTCAAGATCGGCCAACCGGGTGCCACCGACCTCCCGCACCGTACGAACAACGACCTTCGATAGTGGCTCGGCAGCCACAACAGTGCCACTGCTGTCGCCCATCTCCGAACCATTCGTCATCGCCAGCGGTTAGTCTGGCGACGGCGCTTTGTAATGGCTCGATACCACTTGTTAGCCCACAGGATCACCGGCTCAGGTGAGTCGACCACTCACCAGTCTTGCCGAGCACCCACTAGCTATGCCAACCACGAAGAAGCGTTATCCAACCACACACACTATGGCTAAGGTAGAAGAAGAGGGAGAACAGAGCATACACACAGTATAAGCACCAACGTTGGCCGGAGCCCTATATAGGAGATGGTAAAACTGAACTCTTTTTGTTGAGTTGCAGTGGCAAACTATATATACAACTATATCCATCTAGTCCTTGTACAGCTGTCCTGCTGTAACATTGACTAGACAACACAGCAGGACTGATTTCTGCGTCTGTCCCTGCATGTGGCTACAGTACGGCATGTGAGCCGTTCGGTGCCTGCCTATATAGCAGCTACAGTACCACAGCAGGGAGCCTTTTTGGCGCTGTCTTCCCTTTCTGTGTGTTCACACAAGGAAGCAGTAAATTATCTAACATATAACACATAAACTATGTATGGTACATAAAGTAGAATTTTTCATCCATATCTACCTATCCTACATTTTATTCTCTACAGAAAGCAAGCTTTAGGTTACAACTTACAACCAAATGCACAATGTTCAATTGTAGAATGATCATATGTTCAGAAATTAATATATAATGAAACTTAACAGTACAGCAGTGGCATGACACAAGCATGTAATTTGGCACTAATATGATTCCAGTAAATGGTAACGAATGATTGGAACCATACCAGGCGTCCAAGCATGGCAACCAATCTAATAGAAGCTTAGATGTAATCAACAATAAGCGTACATTCTAATTCTAAGTTTTAAAGGCGTTTTTTTAAAAAAACATTGTCTGAGTCACGCAAATGAACAAGGCGATGGATAAAGATGTAATCAGAGAAATCAAATAAAGGCAAAAGCTTCTGCTACAAGAGGTGTGTCAATCAAACCAAGGTCAAGTTGGGGTAATTAGCAATGTTGGCACATCAACTTAACTCAATAAAATCAAAAGAATAGATTTTCTAGCACCATTTGGCACAAATATGCAGCCAGCTGGAAATTTGAGTTCAAGCATGAGAAGCTGACTTTGAATTCATCCAAGTGAGTCGAAACAACCTTCAATTTGCAGAACTCCGCAACAAGCTTCTTAGCCTGTGAGGGCTCACGGTACCGCACAAAGCAGTACCCTTTGCTCTTCGACGTCCTCGCATCCAGGCCTGGATTACTTCCCAAATATTTTCAACCCAAACTATCACATCGAATCTTACGGTACATGCATGGAGTATTAAATATAGACAAAAAAAAACTAATTGCACAGTTTGGTTGAAAATCACGAGACGAATGTTTTAAGACTAATTAGTCCATGATTAGCCACAAGTGCTACAGTACTAACATGCGCTAATGATGGATTAATTATGCTTAATAAATTCGTCTCACAGCTATGTAATTAGTTTTTTTATTAGTATCCAAAAATCTTTTCCAACATCCCCGAAACATCCGATGTTACGTCTAAAAATTTTTATTTCACGAACGACACACAGCCTCAGTGATCTCGCCTGCCCACCCAAACACTGACCTCACGTCTTCCTCTTTCATGTCGTTATCGAGCCCGCAGACAAATACCTCTGTCATCCTCCTTTGCCTCTCAGCCCTGTCTGAAATCCCAAATTCCTCCTTTCCTATGCTCGTACTCGCCAATTCCTCTGCCTCGCAGGCATCAGAATCAGTATTTGCCACCGGCTTACCGATTAAGGTTCCTCCCCCCACAGCCTCCTCACCCAACAAGGTTTTTTGAGCGGACCCCAACAATGTTTCATCCACATCAACGACATTGAAGCCACTAGGCAGCTCCTCGGCTTCAATTTTCCTCGCATTCTGCTCCTCGTCCGCCATTTCATCCAAAGCAGCATTTTTCCCCGCCGGTAATTCTCCAACGGCGGCCTTCCGAGCAGCTAACGTGCCCTTGGGGACAGGGTTTCTGGTAATGATGACCGTCCTCTTCATCTTGCGAGCCTCCCGTGCGAGCACCGGCCTCAGGGCGACAGGCCGCGTCTCCGTGGCCGGAGGCGACGGCGTGGAGGGTTTCTCGTCCGCGGCCGGAGGCGGCGCCGTGGGGGAATCCACGTACGCAGGCTCCGTAGTCGTGTCCCCTTGAGGCAGCGAGTACGGGCTCAGGAACGCGGCAGCGGGAGCGGAGGTTGCGAGTGCCGGTGGGGGCGGCGGGACTGGGGTGGCCGTCTTGGGCGGGGAAGGCGAGACGCGGCGCTTCTTTGAGGGCGCCTGCGCCGACGGCAGTTGAAGAGCCCCCGGAGCTTGGTGGCGCGGCGGCGGAGAGGGCGACGGGAGCGCTGCGGAGGCCGCGGGCGGCGCGAGGCGGCGGAGCTTCATGACGATTCCGGCTTGGTCGAGAGAGCTGTCTCCCACTGAACACCAGCAGTGCAGAATGAAGAGTCGAGTCAAAGCGGAGAGTGCTCATCCAGAAGACAGAAAGGTCAAATAGGTGTCGTACGAATCCCATCGAATTATACGAATCCAGATAAAAAGAATCACAACAATTTTATTAAATTTTAAAATTCTAAAATCTAAGTTAAAATCTTTCTAAAATCTAGACCATTTGATTAAGATACTAGGTTTCTAGGTTTTTTTTTTCTATCTGGATTCACAGAATCCAATGGATTCAAACGGGTAACTCATGACAATTCCTGCGTGTTCGTTTCTCTTTAGAGTGGTTGTGGCTACGCCTGTTCTGTAACCGTGTTTAACACTCACACTAGAAAACATCGTGCGGCTTTGCCGCGCGGGCCAGCAGGTGCCAGCGTTATGGAGCTGCTAGTAGTTGCGTAGAAGTCCAATCCAGTGTAAGCATTTTAATTTTGAGATTTACCTAATTTCAAGTCAAGACATGAATATTATTAGGACAAAGTCGATTTTCATCGATGGAGCTTCTGCGCGGTCCAGGATGACGAGTGGTGAGGAAGGGAAGAAACCTGACGGCGCGTAAAATGAGTCGTGGGCCGAGTATATATATATATATATATATATATATATATATATATATATATATATATATATATATATATATATATATATATATATATATATATATATAGGATCGTGGAGCCGGTAGAATCACTCAATTGTTTTATTTTATGTGTGTTATGGGTAAGCTAGTATAAAAATTTCATAGCAATTTGAATAAAGAAACTAACTCTATAATTTTTTTTAGAAAACTCTTGAGAAATCTAGATCCACATTAATAGCAAAAAATTACACTAAAACATGTGATGTTATGTGTTTACAGTGCAGTGCTAGTTGTGTAGAGTTCAACAAACTTGGTTTGGCATTTTTTAAATTTTTATTTGTTTTATTATGTTATTTACAAAATTTCAATCGTTTTAGATAAATAACAAATTCGCTGGAAAATAGAAAAACGGCGTCGGGCCGAATTCGGCCCAGTAAGGCCCAGGTTCGACGGGAAACAGGCCTGAGCGGGAGGCACGTCGGCCCATTCAAAAGGCCTGGATTGCGGGTTGATTTCGGTAAAGTTCGAGGGCTTTTTTGCAAAAAAAAAACCTGAGAGGAGGCCTAGACTGCGGGTTGATTCGACTAAAGTTCGAGGGTTTTTTTGCAAACAAACCACGCCTCGCACGCTCTGGGCCGTTCACGCGCCCGATCCGACGGCCGGGAACGGCGGGCGGCCACGCTCGCCGGCCAACTTTTGGGTGCAGGTTTCATATGTAAAGATTGCAGCCACAGCTACAACTAAGCAATCTGCCTAATAGATTGTGTTTGGTTGGATTGATAAAAGCTCTATCTTGACCCGTGTGTATTATTCTGACGTGTGTCATTTAGTACACCGACCAAGTCTTTTATTCCAACTTTCAAGTTTATATATTAGGTGGTGTTTAAATAGAGGGAGTAAAGTTTAGGGGTGTCGTATGGGGTGTTCGAATGCTAATAAAAAAACAAATTACAGAATCCGTTAGTAATCTGCGAGACGAATTTATTAAGTCTAATTAATCCATCATTAGCACATGTTACTGTAGCACCACATTGTCAAATCATGGACTAATTAGGTTTAAAAAATTCGTCTCACAAATTAGTCACAATCTGTGCAATTAGTTATCTTTTTAGTCTATATTTAATACTCCATGCATGTGTCTAAACATCCGATATGATAGGGAGTAAACTTTAGGAGGGAGTAAACTTTAGGCCTCAGTAGTTATTGTAACACATGAATTTTAAAGTACTCCATCTGTCTTATATTACATAACATTCTAAAATCTCTTACGGAAACCAACACAAAAGGCAAAAGACAAAAATACCTTTCAAGGAGTAGAGATAGAGATGTATTAGTAAAAAAAAAAGTGTATTAGAAAAACAGAAAGATGTATTAGAAATTTAGAAGTGAGAAGATCAAGTATTTTAGAACAAAGTTTAAATCCTATAAGGTTACCTGTTTTGGGATGGAAGGGGTATTTAATTCAAATTACCAAAAAAAACAAATATATTGAAAAAAAATCACGCTATAAGTTTTGAGTTATATTTTTGAAGAAATTTTCTTCAGTGCCATATTTACCTATGGCCATTCAAAAATATAGCTCTCTAGTACTCTAACCGCAAGTTGAGGCAAGCGAGTCATTGAACATGACAGTCGCCACCGGCCAAGCGAGATCACTAGGCCGTCAGCAATTGATAATTCAAAGACAGAACGAAGGAACGAGGGAAATTATTTGGGAGATAAAAAGAAAAGATGAGAGGATCTAATAAACACACGGATACAAACTGGTTGTAAGTTGTAATCTCCCCTCCCGCACTCACTGCCCTCTGGGCCCACACAAAGACAAGCGTTTCACACAGTCAAACCTATGAAGGTTTGATTCTGCTTCTGAACTGTAAAGACGCAGTTCCCATATTACGCTTCCGGCTTCCTCCCCTGTTTCAGTAGCCTGAACACCGGTGTGTTACAGAGCAGCAGGAAAACTAGTATATCTGTTATATACAGGGTCTGCATGTAGGCAGCAGAGTATATATGTTGACAGAAACTTCGGTGCACAGGTGCAGCATGCTCATAGAAATATGGGCAACTATCAGTATTATCAATGAACATCAGTTCACAGCAGGCAAATACTTGCATCATCTCCGGATGTTAGATGGATTAGCAAAAGCATTGTCGACCTTAGTCGCAACTCGCAACATGCCTGATGCAGAGAATATGCACATAGCACCACTTGCTGCAGGGGGGAGGTATAAAAGGCAAAAGCAAGGTCCCTCCCCACAAGTGTATGATACACAGATACCCAACCAAACTCCAACCTCCTTCCAGTTCTACACTACATATACACAGCTATATGGGGTTCTGAGACAAGCCCAGGAGGAGTCCTCTTGATCCGTGAGTCGCAAAACAATCATCTTTAGCTGCAGTCAGTCTGTGGAAGCCCCTGAAACAACATGCAGAATACCAGATATCAAGGCTTAATCGTCACACAATAACGTGAAATGGTGTAAGCTGCTCTTACATCTCTGTAAGTGCCAGCTGTCATGTGACATCCCTGATTTGCGAGAACAGGCTTGCCTCATCTGAACAGAGGGAGACCAATGATCAAGTCTGATCGCTATGAAATCTGAATAAAACATAAACACAGGGGAATGATGGACACACTAGTTGTATCATTTTCCACACAAAAATAAAAGTATTACCAATGGGCTTCCCTGTGTCATATGCTTAAAAAAGGGTGAGCACAAATAATTCATGATGGAACAGCATACCTGAATCCCACCCCATGGTTCTTCTGATAGTACAGAATCTGAATCTGAAAGCAAAAATAGCACATCATACATGTTATACCAGATGACGGAGAGACGGATTAACGTGAGATGGGCTGCAAGGACATACCTAGTCGATATCTCCTGCTTTCATGATGATATGGAGGAGAATACTCGGTGATGGCAGGGGGCGATGCACTGTAGCTGAGATGTGTTACAGATTGAAAGAAAACTATTACTCTATGCTAAGATATGCGATGAAGAGTTGTGATCGCTTAGAAATTGAGATAACCTTGAAGTTGACGTAGCATAGGTATTCCTCTCATGTCCTGCGTGAGGGTTGCGGCCCATGTAATAAGAATCAATCCCCTGTAGTAAGCAAGATTAAAACAAATACAACAAAACCAATGAGTAAATGTTTCATGCCTATATGCTATAGCTTACAAGTGCTGAGAAAGGCCGCTTCTCTCCTGACAATATGCGGGGATAATTTTGAGTAAGCCTTCCTGCTACTTATAGGGATGAAAACATCAGCAATTGGTATTTTAAAGTTGATAGCTTCAAAATAGTGGTCATAAAGCATCAAATATCTACTGAATGCTAGAAAGCTCTATATGTTCAATGTTGCATGCATCTTGTATGTCATAGATGTACATAGCAAAAGTTGTATACAAGAGCAATTGCCAAAAGAAGAGGTGCAGCCAAGATTAGTTTTTAGCTAAAACATGGAACCCTCCAATATTACTATTTGCAATCATTTGCATATTAGCAAACAGATCAGGGCTTCAAAATTAAACCAGAAAATTAACTTGGTCAAAGAAAAATGAAACATAAATCCTAATATGACATCAGAAAACCAGTTAGTTTGTTGAGTAACATTATTAAAAATAACAAATAAGAAAAAGTCATCCAACAATACCACCTTGTGCATTTTTAAAAATAAATGTAACATGCAAGTTATTGAGTCCATTTAAATGAATAATTATCAACTTTATATATCCTTAGTTGAAGGTTTTGTTTCATCTAGGGGGTGAACAATGTTTATCCCTTGATGAAAGCTTTCCAAGGTAGAGATAAAATAAGTCACTGGTCTTAAATACTAATATGAGACTGCAAATTAATCTGATGCAGAATTTTACAGTGTTCAACTGGCCACATGAAACTAACCTGAACCAGTATGTTCATGTCTCCAGGGAACCATCTCCCTCAGAACCTGAACCAAGCCATGATCTGTTGATGACTTCTTATCCCCTGTGGGTGGAACCGCCCTGGAACTGGAAGGGAATATATGCAGTGAAGACGGCCCAAGTATTCTTTCACCTAGTGAAATCGATGAAATGGTTGAGAGAAATTGAGAAAAAGCACTTAACTGTTCATGAGCAAAATAACTTTCAAAAATAGACTGAATTCATCTTATTAAGGCGTGCCACTGCCACCCTTAGCTCATTACAATCTATCTAAAAATGAAAAAGAGGATAACAGGCAATATATGTAGATATATAACTCTGCATGACACCTGCAAATTCAGATCATTGGATTACTACAGAAACTAGCTAACCCGATACCAGACATTGTGACCAAGAACAGCAAGAAGACAGCAGTTATATACTTATACATAAGGTATACTATGTTTACAATATTTTGTACACAGAGAAACAGTAGTTAACAGAGGAGTGAGATTGGCAACCATAAGTTAGGCACATAATCGGAAATGAACTAGAAAGAGGACGATGGGGATTCGAAAGGAATTAACTCATTTTGAGCAGTCTATATTTTATCTTTCTCAGTAATACAAAATCTATGATCTTCCATAATCTTCTTGCCCTTTTGGACAGATTTAGCAAGAGTGACTCTAATATTAACCTGGCATGAAACACTAAAAATGTGAGAATCATGTTAAAAAAACCCTCCAACTTAGACTAAGATATTACAAAGGACCTTTCAACTATTTCCCATCAAAATGATTCAAGACACAAGATAGCAGCCTCATGAGTAGTGTAATTAATGAATGCAATGTCATTCCTTTTAGCTGGATGCATATCATATGATTGAGCTACAAGTTCGATGTTTCCATATTTCTTGAAAATATCTGTCATCTTAGCTTGATCCCAAGAATTCAATACACCTTCCACAAAGACTGCTTACACCTAAATGTTACTTACAACTCTTTGGGAATTTGTGACTAGCCACCGAAAACACAGCCAACTATGATGTTCAACTGTGACAGGGCCAATGAAAAAGGACTGAACCATTGATATACACACATACAGAGTCTAAAGTACTTCCAAAATCAAATTGTTACAGGTGCAAAATGTCATAGCCTAATGTACTTCTAAAGTCAGAATCGTAGCTGCTATACAAAGTTTCCAGTCTTATTTGACCCAATGCACCACAAATGTGTTAATGTCTTCAGGAAATGGATACCAAAAAATGTTACAGATCACAAACAGCCTATGTATGTGTGCGTCCATGAATGTGCGTTGTTCTGCGCGTGCGTGTGGCATGTGCGTCCATGAATGTGTGTGCGCGTGTGTGTCGTCATGTGTGTCATGTCTCATGTGTGTGTGTGTGTGTGAGAGAGAGAGAGAGACCCTTGTGGATCTGTTTTCATCTGGACCATTCAATGGTTCGGCCCATGCAACTCTTATATTTAAACCCTTGCCAAAAACATATTTCCTTGAAAGCTTTTTGTATGCAATCTGTGCATCTTTATAAGTCTCCAGTTCAACAAATGCAAATCCACGATTATAGCCTGGATTATTAGAGTCAGCCGGAAGGGTAGCGACGTCAATGTTCTCAACTCCAATTTTCTGTAGTAGTTTCATGATCTGCTTCAAAGAAAAACATGTAAGCAAGCAGCCAATTATTTAGGAGAGAATATCGAATCAAGCTGTTCACAAGAAAGAAATAGTAGCTACAAGTGCAGTTATGCTCACATCGTCTTTCTTCCATTTCTTATCAAGGTTCCCAAGAAAGATTTTATCATTCCCACCCAGAGCTGCAACTCGACACTGCTTTCCACAAATCTAGTAATTGGGTTTCAGAGAACAAGGTAACAATTAATCAATATGGAGAAAGACAAGAGAAAGGGAAACAGGGAGACAATCAAACATAAGTCACTTTCAACTTGGCTAGCAGACACAACTGTGGTATCATGAAGTCCCAATGGCTTTTCATACAAGCAACAGTCACAAAATATGCTAATGCATAGATTCTAACACCGTGGAGCTTGCCCAAAACCCCGCGAGTGTGTCATGCAGTGGTATTTCAAACGAAATGTTCAGGTGGGCATCTTGTCCCCTTTTGATTGTTAAACAAAAATTAATGAATTTGGCCATGTGGGTCAAGCACAACCTTAACGTTGCTGAAGTTTGCAATGGCCTTCCTTGCCTGCGCAGACTCACGGTAGCGCACAAAGCAGTAGCCTTTGTTCTTCTTCGTCGTTGCATCCATGATCATGCGAACTTCCGTGATATCCCCCGCCACTGAAAGCGCTGCCCTCACGTCCTCCTCCTTTGTGTCCCTACTGAGTCCATCGACAAACACCTCTGTCATCCTCCTCCTCTGCCGCTCCGACATTACCACCTCAGCCCTGTCCTCACCCCTGCTCCCCAATTTCTTCACCTCATGCTCACCACCAATATCCGTTGCCAGCCCACTGGCTAGTGTTCCTCCCCGCACCGTCCCCTTACCCAATAGTGTTTCACACACAGCCGTCCCCTTACCCAGTAGTGTTTCACACACAGCAGTGGCCAGTTTTTCAATTGTGTGTCCCCCAAAACTCTGTTCCTTCTGCACCACTTCATCCACCGCGGCAGCATTTTGAGAGGAATAGTCCAGAGCGTGTCCCTTCCCAGGCTGTAACGCTCCGGCGGCAGCCAAAGCCGCCTCCGCCGCAGCCTTCCAGGCTGCGATCGTGCCTTTGGGGACCCTTCTTTTGATCGTCCGTACCTTTCGTGTGATCTTACGCGGCTTTGTTGCGGGAGCCGGTTCCGTGGCCGCGTCGGTCGGAGGCGGTGCGGAGGGTTTCTCGTCCACAGCCAAAGGAGGAAGAGGCGGCGGCGAGGAGGGTTTTCCCGCGAGTGGCGGCGTTGGCGGCGAAGAGGTTTTTCCGCGGGTGGAGGTGGCGGCAGCGGCGGCGAAGAGGGGTTTTCCACGGGCGGCGGAGGAGGTGGCGGAGGCGAAGAGGGTTTTTCCGTGGGTGGAGGTGGTGGCGGCGGCGAAGAGGGTTTTCCGCGGGTGGCGGCGGCGAGGGTTTTTGGGCCGAAAACAGAGGCGACTCTGCGTCGTCCACCTGGGGCGGTTGGGTGGGGGCTGGGACCGCGACCGCTACGGGGACAGGTGGGGCAGGAAGGAAAGGGATGGTGGCCTTGGGCGGAGTCCGCAGGACCCGGCGCTTCTTCGGAGGCACCAGTGCCGATGGCAGCGGCAGCTCCGGCGGCCGGAGCGGCGGGGCGGCTCGGTTGCTCGGGGATGGAGGTGGAGGTGGCGGGGGCGTCCTGGAGGCGGCCGGTGGCGTGGGGCGGCGGAGTACATGAGTAGTAGTAGTTGTAAGTGGCTGCATGACGAAGAATCGCTCGCGAACTCACCAAACGGGCGGAGAAGTGAAGAACTGCCGTCCGTTCGGCCTGTGTCACTTCGCTCGAGGGGATTGGGTGGAGTGGAAGCACCGTACGCGGCGACATGAAGAGGACATGTTTTGGTGGGGTCCACCTCACGTTACTCCTGGAGTCCTGGTCCTTTTTCTCCTGGTCCTGGGTAGACGTAGGATTTGAAGGAAGTTCAATTTGATTTGATTTGAAACGAATTCCAGGAAGCACAGCGACTATACTAGTACTACTACTTCCGTTCCAAATTATAAGTCACTTTAACTTTCTTTGATACATCTAATTTACTATGCATCAAAATATAGTCTAGATACGTAGCAAATGAATAAACCAAAAATATTAAAAGCGACTTATAATTTAAAACAAAAGAGAGTAGTATTTTCTCTCCCTTTACTTTACTTCATTTATGACTCCCGAAACTACCACCCTTGTAGTGGAATTTAAATTTTTAATAGTTCATTTATACGGTAAAGCATTACTCCTTTGTGCAGTGCACAACCTACTTCCATAGTTCCATAACACATCTTTATTTAGTTTTTTTTTAAATAACACATCTTTATTTAGGCCTCGTTTGGTTTTCCTTGTCACACTTGTTTGGTTCTAGTAACTAAAGGTCATTAAAACAATTTAATAAAGGCCAAACTATCCCTAATAAATTCACAAATCATGGTGGAGGACCGACAATAATGAGGGACAACCCTTGTCCACTGTGCATTTTAGTCCCTTTTAGCATCTCCTTGGGGTACTAATGTGACTAAACTACTTTAGTCCCTTTTTAGTCAGTTTATTTAGCAATTTAGTGTCTAAACTGACTAAAGTTTAGCAGGGAGAACAAAACAGGCCCTTAAGTTGTTGTCGTCAGTAGTTCTGAAGTCATTATTTTTTTTACCAGCTCCTCTATACGAGTTATTGGCTTATTTTGCCAATTTGCCTCCTGTCTTCCAAAAGGTGATGATATATAAATGTCTTAGAAGATGAATGAAACATAGATGGATGAATTTTGGTTGTTGTTTTCTCACGAGGCATTCGTCTTGGAAGGCCATGTTATGTTTGAATTTGGAAAGAAAGGAGCTAGCATCCTTGTTTTACTATAAGCAACTATACATATATGTTGGGTTAGGTTTGGGAGGCAGCAGGAGCAGATTACATGGGTCATCTGCAAGTTTCCGTTGCCCTTGATCTTGTCAGAGGACTAGAGAAAATGGTGTCTCATGCCAAACAGTGCTGCCCGGCTTGTGCCTCATTTAACACCGGGATTCTTCTATACCTCGAATTGAAGATATTTGTGTGCACAAAACCTGGAGATTCTAAAGAAAAATAAGAGGCACATGTATGTACAGATTTACTTGAGTTTAGGGTCGTCAAGTTAGACATGCGCTAGGCGCATGGCGTTGATGTAGTGGATGGGAGCTTGATCTTGTTCTAGCAAGAACTTTAAAGTGACCATAAAGTGACTTCCCTTGACATCCATTATTTCAACAGCTTTTGTTGGGAAGACATCATGTACGTACTCCTACAACATAAGGTCCATCTCTTTTGCTACCTCTGAAAAATAGTTTAAACCTCGAGTTGTATAAACGCATTTTGCTTCCCTTTTTTGAATTTATTTTTAGGAGCTTTCTCTCGAACCATGGTTTGGTTTGCGCTTTTGCAAGAGCCAGCACTTCAACCTCAACCTCAGCTTCTCTAGTTCACTTATTTTAATTCTTTTTTTATTGCAGCATTCAAATATAAGTTCATTTCTCTTATTATAGCCCAATTCTCCTTATGCTCTGTTTCTACTAGCAAATGACATGTTTTTTTATAAACAGGTTAATTAATATGCGTATGGGTCCCACCTATGTGTCTTAAACGAAGTTCTTTATGCCAACTGAGCTACGCCAAACTTCTTGGACCAATTCTTCCCTCCTATATAGTTACAGGCTTGTTCAATATGCTCTTGAGTTGCTTATTTGAGGTCTGACCTTGCCCATATGTCTGATGATGATAAGATGTACCCACTGTGTGATAAATTCCTAATTTCCACAGGCATTTTGTAAATTCATTTCCAAAAAAGTGGCTACCTCCATCAGTAAACATTACTCTTGACGCACCATACCTAATATTCTTTATCACATATATAAATTGATCGTTCCTCAATTGAAGCCCAAACTTGCAATCATATTAAGACCAATCCTAGCCTTTGCATAGCTAAGGTGCACACAACCTATAAAAAAAGGAAAAGAAAAAAAAAGACATGGCAACATACATCATGTTGCAGCAGACAACAACACACAATTAATCTTCAATTCATTATGCCATCATATAGCAACATCTGTTTGTGAGAGGGGTTACGTTCCCTAGAACAATGCCTACAAGAAGGACACGACATGCACACGCACCATTGTTGCCATGATCCAACAAGTGATTGAGTGAAGACCGGACCATAGATTTTCATCTCAGACAGAAAAATCTCTGAACACCGAAATAATGCTTTCGACGAGGTCATTGGCATGTACAAACAGCTAAGGAGAGATCTAGAGATTGCTCCTCGATGTCGAGGAGTCAGTACCCAACAAGTAACACACCAAGTCAAAGTCCGTCGACGCTACCTCCCTCTTTTTCGAGCCAATGTTGCCACAATACCTAGCCTGGACTAACTACAGCCAACCACAAACTCCACCACCTGCAATTCCCACAATGATCTTTTCAGGAGTCACCTAATAAAGACACGTGATGCATCACCGAGAAGTCCGTAGTGTCAGTCTAAAGGCGGGATGCATCATAGGAGTTAGAGATTCCATGAGACAATGCCAAGATGACTCCAGTCAGCAAGAATATAAGGAAAACACTGGCTAGAGAAGAAGATGTCATGACGAGAAGTGGTTGCAAGGGTACTGTTACGATGCGTGCGCGGCTATGGAACTCCAGTTTGCGTGGCTATGGAACTCTAGCTGCCGGCTGCAATGACACTAGTGACATCACCGCAGGCCGCAAATAGAAGGTCGACTTGAAGTATGTTTGATATGATTTGATTTGAAATGAATTCTAGGAAGGACAAGACTATTATCTTTCTCTCTTTTCTTTTCTTCATTGACTACTGAAACTCACTAGTAGAGAAACGGTTTTGATCCACTTCGAAATTTAGCTTTAGTCCCGTATTTTTTTGCGTCTCGGGACTAGATTAAACCTTTAGTCCCGGTTGGTAGCTCCAACCAGAACTAAAGGTCCCTGCCCAACGGCTACTGCGGCAGGCTTTTGCTGCAGGGAACCTTTAGTCCCGGTTGGAGCTACCAACCGGGACTAAAGGTTAACTTTTACTCCCGGTTGGTCCCTCCAACCGGGAGTAAAAGTCTACTCCCGGCTGGAGGCTCCGTCCGGGACTAGAAAGGGACCTTTAGTCCCGGTTGCTGTCTCCAACCGGAACTAAAGGTCCCCTCCTATATACCCCTTCTTCCTCCCCGAGCCCGAGCCACTTCGAGCTCAATGTTCTTGCTTTATCGCTGGCCTCTCTTCTTCCTCATCGCCGGTAATCACAAGATTTCTTCGATTCCTCCATCGATTCTTCGGTTCTAAAGGTTACCAACTTTATACTCTCATATTTCATCAGTAGCATATCTCATTTTGTGGACTAGATATATGTGATTTTTTATGGTGGATTTTTTTTATTTGTAAGCCATTTAAGCTCAAAATCACTTTAAAGTTTGCATATTTGGATGAAGGAAGGTTAAAGTAGTTATTCAAAACTAGTATTCAGCTTTCATTTCTTGCATGCATAGCACACTTCATGGTTTAGAGATATAGAGAATTTTAGAGTTTTTTTAATTTTATTTGTTTATAAAACGAGAAATTCATATTATATTAAAAATGAGTATAGAGAGTAGATGGCAACTGCTTCCGGGTCCTTGGCCTCTCATCGGTTCCAAAGCGACTGAGGTCGGACCTCCCTCTCATTGCATGCGGCAAGTGTGAGGAGAAGATTGTGATGGAGTACCGGGTGAGGAAGGAGTGTCCCAACAAGGGCCGTATCTTCTACAAGTGTCCGATTCGCAATGTGAGTTATTTTGTCGCATTTGATGATTATGGTTAATGTATACTTATTTTTATGATGATTGTGATTAAAGTTCTAATTTTTTGTTTTAATTTTAGTGGGATGGCACTGGATGTTCAGGCTGGTACTGGGAGGAAGAGTATGTTGAACACGTGCAAAACTCTCTTGCACAGGCGGATACGGCGGCTGATGAGGCAGTGATCCTGCGGAAGAAGCCCATAGATGTTGAACAAACGCATGATCTGTCTGTTTTAGTTAGGATTGGTCGCGAAATCCTTATGCTGCTGAAGTGCATTTTAGCTTTAGTTTTTTAGTGGTAGTTGGGATTGTCTACATTATAGCGAGACTTTCATAAATTAATACCTTGTGTGGTGGCATGCATATCGTATAATTAACTAATTATGTTCTAGGTTTTAATATGGTATGTATGTCATGTAATGCAGATGAGCCGGCATTGGATGTACAATGCTGATCGCCGCTCCCAAGAGTTCATTGAGGGCGTGCATCTCTTTCTTACGTGTGGCCGAGGCAAACAAACGCGATGGTTTCATGTGCTGCCCACGTGCCATATGTAAGAATTTGAAGGAATATGCTAGCTCAAGGAGTCTTCATTCACACTTGTTGAAGTCGGGTTTCATGCCAAACTATATTTGTTGGACGAAGCACGGAGAAACCGGGGTTGTAATGGAAGAAGGTGAAGAAGAACAATGGGACGATGATGACATTATTGCTGAATATGGTGCCTTCAATGATACTGCAATGGGGGAAGCTGAAGAAGAGGTAGGGGCAGAAGATGAGCCCGCTGATGATCTTGGTCAGGCCATTCGTGACGCACAAAGAGAATGCGAAAGTGAAAAGGAGAAGATCAAGTTCGAGCGCATGCTAGAGGATCACAAGAAATTGTTATACCCAACTTGTGATGCGGGGCAGAAAAAGTTGGGTACCACACTGGAATTGCTGCAATGGAAGGCAAAGAATGGTGTATCTGACAAGGGATTTGGGGAGTTACTGAAAATCCAAAAGAAGATGCTTCCGAAGGATAACGAAT